AAATACCTGTTATGATGCTGATACACAATTGCTTGATTTCATATATACAAATATATATATATAAATCTTACTCTGACTTTCAAATATGTTAGATTAAATTCTCCATACTGGTCTTCAACTGATATTATTATGTCCCATATATAGTCTTTTTCTTCGGGTCCTTCTGGTAGGGTAGTATTAGGTGTGATAGGGTCTTGGGAGTAATAAAAGTCACTACCATAGATCTCATCTCCAATTGCTAGTTGTATACGAAAATACAATCCAGGACTGTTTGCCTTGCTGTCTTTCAGGGCGGTCTCAGCATTGCTTTCGTTAGTTTTCCATCCTTGGCAGAGCATGATAAACATAGTAGTCATGGCTTGGCCTAGAAATAAAATTGTTGCATGTTGTATTAAAGTTGGCATTATGCAATTCTTGTGTACGTTGTATACGAAAACAAAATGAATGACAGTATATAAAGTGCGAGATCAGTAAAGTTTAGATCAATAGATAGATCACATGAATGGATTAGAGTCAGACAGGCAGACAAAACTTGCCTTCTCCAGGAAGTATCTTACAAATTCCCCCATACGGAGTTGTGGCTGTTCTGAAATGTTGCGCTGTCTTAGCGTCTCCTTTTCCAGGTACACAAACTGAGCCTTCCAACTTGTAAGTCGTACCTTTGTCTAGAAAGTGGGCTTCTATTATCAGAGATGAGCTATTGACACCTGTGTTAAAGATATGGTAAAACTGAACTGAACATTTTCGGATATTGGTTAGGTGCATTTTCATGGACCAGGACGTTTTCTGAACTACGATAAATTCATCGATTCTAATTGTGAGAGCTTTACCGGCGAATCTTTATGTTTTAATCCTGTACGAAAAACGTGCATTGAATGGCCATTCTCCGTTTGTACAATCTTGGTACAATCGTTTCATCGATTTCGTCAACCGAAAGTTACAACCTGGACATGCTTATGTCAATGATTTCAGAATCAATTGGGTATCAGTACGTTATTTTAGAATGATTTTTATTGGTTTCATGTGATAGTGGGTACAACATTGTCATATACCATTCCAAACAGGAAGTCCATGGCATTTGGTCACAATGTACCTCAAACCACTCCTTTCGATGTTATCACTATCGCCAGTGTGGGCGATAACTGATAGCCGCATTGTGGCTTGTGCGTGAGAATAGAAAATGGACGCCGAAGACTTTTTGATTATTTTGACGATGGATTTTGACTTATGACTTGAAATTATCATCTCTCGGGGTTGATCGTGAATGGGTGAAGTACTGTTGAAAAACATAACTAGAAGGTGTAAAGTACTGAAGTACTGATTTCTTTAAAAGAGACTGTGCCTGCAGCTCCCTTGTCATTTTTATACTGAAGCTATATTTATTCATTTTATTGAATTCGGTTACACCACCCAAATTTATATTGAAGTAATATTTGTCATTCATGGTTTAGTCGTCGGAGCTGATCAATAAAGTTCACCATTAGTATTATAATGAGTAACTTGAAATTGTTATTATATATTTATTAATTTTCTTTTGTTGTACTTAACAAATGACATAAAGGAACGTTTATGAGCTTAAAGTTATATTTAGATTGTGCTATAAACCAAATCTTTTAAAGATTGTAAACAGAATTTTCATATTATTAGTTATTCACCCGAAAACAGTTTTATGGTATAATTATGGGTTTACTGAAACCTTACATATATTACTGTGAGTAATACCTAAAACCGGGTCCCAAATACGAAGTTCACAAGGAGCATTCAGTTTTCTGATGTTTTATTACTAACGCGTCTTTTAATGTTGACGTTATTTATATTCTTGCGAGATAACCCTTTAAGCAAGTTTTCGATAAAATGACAAACTTTTTCACCACAC